CATATGGAAACTCGGCTTAATCAAGGCCAGCGATGACTACGATGTGAGCACCGGGCTACAATCCATTACCCCGTGATGTCCTCAACTAAATACAGCGTGCAATGAATCAGAACTCACCGATTCAGTTTGGTTTTGTGTTGTGGCAGCTCTCACAAAATTTGTTGCGAATAGACAGGTGAAACACCAGAACGAAAACTTTTCTCCCTCTTTACCCGAGAAAGTCAGTTTCATGAGCGGAACCGTTGATAGTGTCTGACCTCTAGGATGTGTTTGGATCACTTGGTTCACTGATTAACTTCATTCCACTTTTGTTCTATCAACCTGATTGCCTGTATTTTATTTCTGGTCGAGACCAATGCGCTGTTCCGAGCGATTTGCAGTTGGCGGCAGTAGGGTGACATTAGCTAATGGGCTCAGCATGCACTGAGAAGAACAATCAATTTAGCCTGAGACACGGAAACCAAGTAACTAGCTGGTCGTGTCAGCTTTAAGGACTAAGGCATCGTTACGTCTATTTTTGGTCGCCGGAACGGAAATTAGGTCGACAGCCTAGTTGGTAACCTTATTGTTGAAGTCGTTTCATGCTTGGACATCTTCGAGTTCATAATGAAACAGACTGACTTTCGAAAGGTGCAACAAACCGATCAGGAGGGCCACGTCTGCAAGGGCCCGTCGGTTGAACTCCTCACAGCTTGTGGATGCATAAAAGTTCCCGTCAGCCTGGGTGTTCCACGGAATTCCTCACGCACATTCGCTTTTGGTCCACCTAGGATTCATTGCGCCACCGATACCGTTCTTTTGTCTCCATTCATGCAATCTGAGTTTATCCTCAGGGTATGGGTAAAACAAAGGCAGTTCTCCGTGTTTTATTTGAATACCGGAAGAAATATTACCACCTAAGCAATTGAAAGCGAGTGTCTGCTCAGTCACTTTCTCCTGACAGAACCTTACCAGTACACCTCACAGGAACTCATGGGTATTTTCAAAAGGAAACTTGCTCACAAGGCTGCTGAAAACTCTTCGATAGCCCACGACCGGTTTCGCCTTTCTTGGGGCTCATCAAGTAGGCGCAGTCCCCGAGTTCCCGTCAATATTATGTTCTACTTGAACTGAAATTGGACGGTTTTCGAGAAATGCACTCATTTGCAAATCAATTTGGGTAACGTCATCTCACGGAAAATACATCACTATCTTGCTTGTAGTCCCCACCGAGTCAGGGAGCGTAATCTAAATAGGGGTCTATCTTGGTCTTCCACCAACTTTTAGGTGAGTGGTATTCGACCAGTTATATCCAAACAGTTCATTGGAGTTCATTGACAGTTGGCTTGCAAACGTTTCCGCGACTATCCAGAATTCATCTTCGGTGCGAATGTCTGTTCAGTTGGTGATTAGGCGTTCGCAAACTACGTTCCGAGATCAGCAGCCACTATGGGTAAACGCATTTCAGGCCACCTATTGTTAGAATCATTCGCAGATTGTCCATCTGGCAATGTTGTGGAATGTAGGTAGCTCGGGTGCGCTGCTGGGCAGTTGGATTGCAAACAGTTCATCACTAATCAAGGTCACATCGTCAGTGCAGGGTTGAGTGGATCCTCAACTCCTCCCACTCAACCCTGCATTGACGATGTCACCTCGATTGGTGATGAAACGTTTGCAATCGAACTGCCAAGCTCGGCGAACAGGCCAACAACCAAGATTGTCCATCTGTCTGGATTGTGAAATCAAGGGAATTCGTATCGTGCATCCGAGAAACTGACAAGCCCCCTAGTCCGCCCCACCAACCGGCAACAATACGCTATAAGTTTTCCGGTTTAGAACAATGAATCTGAAGCAAGACTGCGCCAACAAGACGTAGAATGTAGTTCTGTACTGACAATTTATGGGGTGGAAGCACATTCTGCGCCAAAGGAGTCCGCATCTGAGTCAGTCTGGATCTTGTTCAACGGACTTTACTTTGCTTCATTTGAATAGTAGCCTGTTTTAAAAACACCACAAAAGTGTTTCCAACTGACTGGAGGTTGGTACTGTCATTTGAAACAGCAGTTTACCAAAGATGTCTTACTCTTGACATTTTCATATCGGCCCCTGCCGTTTTTCTGTACCACGTGCAATTCGAAGATTCGCGGGCGCGTACCTTCGGCAAAATGTTCGCCTAAAACACACCGGTAGGAAAACAGCTCTGTGTTTGTTCTGTTGCATTCTTGATAGTGGTGCATCAAGGCCTGTCAAAACTCAAAGAATCTGTCAAACTACGCTCCGCTGAGAATTGCTTTAATACCCTCTACAAAGTTTGATCAAGTCAGTCCCTCTTCAATGATAGCAATATGTTAATTTTCGTTGTATCCATTCGCATTTGCGTTCAGTACTTTGAAAATGTATTTTTTACACAAGGTGTACTCGTAAACACAATGTAATCATTGTATGCTGTGGTATATACATGCATGAATGCATGAGTATCAGACCGTACCAATTTACAATGCCCATGTAGTTATTGAATACCTCTGAACTACCAAGAATTCACAGCCTAATCCGCAAAAAAAGATCACCAAATTTTGTAGAGTTGCGAAACAACGAGTGTCAAATTCGCTGTGAAGTTGCTAACGTCCTCGACTGAAACACATCCTCTTTCGACATGCTTTTTGCCAGACACGCCAAAAAAGGACTGCGAACAAATGTTCACATTGTTATTGACTTATTCAGTCCCTTGAGGGTTTTTCCAGAATTCTTCAGATTTTCCAGATGGTGAGTAGTGGGGACTTCAGTCCAATCATTGTCTACTATCGATTGGATAGCGTTATAATACCATCATGAATGAGGAATGGCAAATGTTGATGAGATCTCGTTGTCAGCCAGCCCGTAACCACCAGTTGAAACGGCCAAGAAGAGCGGTTTTTGGAGACTGAACCTCATCTGTTTGGAGGCATGCAGAGTGAATGCGTCTGGCAACCTGCGTCACATGGCCGAGGAAAGTTCGAAGTTAGTACGAATCGTTCTTGACAGCGGTGTACAGGGCCCCCAAACCCCATCTCAGTTGCTTTGGAAATTTTCAGACAGCTACCCGGGATCGATTTTGGTTGTCAACAGACAGTGTAGATGAACAAGAAATGACCAAACAAATGATATAATGAAAAAAATCGTTCAGCCGTAGCACGCTTTTGGCGGCCAACTGCCATTCCATCAGAAAGAAGCACGAGGGATGGGATGCCAGGTTGACCAAGCTTAGACAGGACAAGAGAGATGCAGAATATCGGGTTAGAACCACGGACCATCCGGTCAACAAATTCGCGCTCTAACCACCAAGCCATCTGGAAAAATAATTGTTCAAGTGTGACACCCATCCAATTATAACACAATGTTGGTTGTACAGAAACGAGGGATAGCCCGTGGAAGAATGGAACTAGTCGTGAACAATAGAATAGTTCCAGCAACCTTGTGAGTAGCACGTTCCATCCAGAAAGTAAACAATAAATTACAAAGAATTCATTGTGTTTGGATGCGCCACATTTCCAGAAACTAATTACTCGTTGGCTAAATGCGAATTAACTAAAAAGTAGTTATTTGGCGGTGTGGCAGGAGGGCCTTCCGTCTTTTTTCTGCAGAATTGTAGCTAAAATACGTTCCAAAAAAGACCACTTTCATCCCCGCATATTCCAAACGATCAGGAAATAACGTAGTTGATAGGCTGGCCTAAATTCAACAATCTCATTTGATCATTTATGGCCTCCATTTGCCGTCTGTGCTGTTCGGACATATTTCTCCTCAGTACCGTTGTCCTTTTAAGGTAGTATCCCGACCGATTGACAATAAAAGTAGCAATTCAAGTACTATTTATTTTGGTGTCACTGTGTGCCAGTTTTCTCCCTTGTTCATGTTCCGAATGGCTTTCAAGCAGCTTACTATTAAAGTATGCCTTGAGAATGAACGCTAATTCTGCTCGTAAACGTGACAGACAATACTCGGAAAATATGAGTACCACCGTCTAGACTGAACACACTACTCACGGGGTTGCTGAAAACCCCTCGACAGCCCACGACTAAGTTTGGCCTCTCTCTGTCCATCAGTTAGTTGCGTCTCCCAAGATCTCATCAAGAACTTGTTTTTCTGAACCCAGATCGCACGCAGTTCGTGAAAAGCACCCACTTGCACACTAATCTGGTTTCAAGAGGAACCTCGACCTAATCCCAGCTTATACTCCGTTTTATGGTATCATTCAGCGTAGACATTGTTTAAGGCAACATGCTTCGGGATACTCTGGGTCCACAGAAGGAACTTAGCCTGTTCTGGGGGAAACGTTTCACACACCAATAATGTACTAC